AATCCTTTGGGTTTATGAAATATGTTTTTCACAAGGTGATATATTTTCCCCAGAACGTGAAATGTTTTGTTTGCTTATTCGTTTTTTCATAAAATATTTTTGCATTCATTGAAATGTTTTTGTCCTCTGCTCAAATGTTTAATGCAATCATGAAATATTGTGCAGTTGACCTTCAGGGCCACCGTACATGACCCTCAGCTCATAACCGATACACAAAACAAGTTACCAGAGTGACTGAGAACTAAATGGATCCAGAGACACTCAGGTAATTTACTTTAAAAATAAGAGGAACAGACGTAGAACCCTGCAGAAGCTGAAATTACCTCTCTGATTTTACAGCTCTGTTTGAATTGAATGATTGCCATGGATGCATGAGCCAGAAATACACGTGGAAAAAAAAATATTATTAGCATTCGTTTTATGGTATTTATTTGGGCTCAGCAGCATTTTCCAGATACGGGTTTGGGTCAGGATGTCACGTTTGGAAATTATGGTACAACCTAAAAAGTTCCACCTTCAAACCCTGACTGAAAACTTTAACCTTCAAATCAGCTTATGGTCAGAAACATAATGCGAGTATGAGGCAGGAAGCCGCTCTGACTGACAGGAGCACGCCAGGGTCCGTTTTACTTTGTGTGATCAAGGTGCAATGAGATGCACTGATGGGGATGGAAACACTTTTCCCTCCCATCAGAGGTGAGATCAATGAAGTGCACCCCACCACGGAGGAGTGTGTGATGAAAGTTATTTGAGGAGTTGCAGCGTGTCCTTGCAGATGAGAGGTGACTGAGAAACGGTGGATGCGAAGCTGCAAAAGATGTGTGAGACAAAGCAGAAAGTGAGAGGATCAGCAGATAACGAGGGAGGAGAGGCGAAAAAAAAGAAGACGTCAGCTCATCTCTGCATTGCACCTCACATAGAAACTCCAAACACATGCACACAAACTCTTAGAAAAGGTCTGATTTAGAAGCACTTGGGTCTCATTTTGTAGATTTTTTATACAGATATATAGTTTTTTGCAATTAGTTGTGCGTACTTAGTGATCAAGTTTAAATTGGCAATTAAGAGAAAACTTGTTTAGTTGGTTTTGTGTAAGTTACAGCTACTGTATGCCACATACAACCTGCAGGTGGAGGCTAAGCTAATCAAAAGGCACTTAGTGTGTTTTAACCTGAAGTGAGTGGAACCTGTTTAGGTTTAAAGCTTTTATGCCACAGTTTTGAGGAAACAATTGCCAACCTAGCAGCCTGCTAGCTGCTAACACAGCTACCAATCACTGCAGACAACACACAAACCACTGCACACACAAAAGAAGTCTTATCCAAACACTGCGTCTGTCATGGTGGAAAATAATCTCAACAGGAATCTCGCTTTTGTGTGTATAGTTTTCTAATCCTGATAGATCGCAGTCTTTATAAAAATGACAGTGCAGGTATTCAACAAGTCAAACTATGGGATTATGAGTAGTTCACCAAGAGGTTCACAGACAATCAAAAAAAAATCCAACGATCACAAATGTATCATCAAAGACTCTTTCTACTTGAATTCAATCAACTATAAAGTTGTCCGACCCCCTCTTAATACAAATTAATACGATAGGCACAACAGGTGGCAACACAATGATGATGCTCCTGTCAAGTCTGAATTTCACCAATCACAGCAATGCAGCAGCAGCAACCTCCATCGTGACAAGAAAAAGCAGAAAAAGTACTATATCCAGAGAGAGTGGGAACAGCATTTCAGTGGGCTTAAGAAGTGATGCAAAGAGTCAATACTACACTCAGGTCCGGGGTAACTTAGCTGGAGACTTTCCTGTGAGCAGCATGCTAACAACTGAAAAGGTGAACGAGCTGACAGCAGCAATTAAGAAACTGCAATCTTTATTTTCCCAACATATAGGGAAATGTGTCAAAAGGCGGAGTCATTTAAAGTGATGCACATCTTTACAAAGCACAAGAAGACATTCATGAGACTGAAGTAATGTACTCTATTACTGATGTAGAGTTTGGTGCTTACACAGTGACCCCGGAGCGTTTCTGCACCTTGTGAGCTTTGTGTATTAGGAGTGCATGTGGTTATGATTTGATTCGTCACAGGTGAATCACGCCTGGGTTATTTAAGAGTTCCCATGAAACTTTTCACAGCCCTTATTCACGCCACTAAACAATTCATAACCGGTGACAGCACGCCATTACTGTAGCTCCCCGAACACAGTGTGCGTTTACTTAACAAAGCCACGTTGTCATGTTAAGATGAATTATGCATGTCCTCTAAATGTAAATGGTGTAGCAGGTTTTTCATCCTGATGGAGACAGCGGACTCACCATTTCAAATCAATGAAGCTATTTAGAGACAAGGATCCGAGTCACCAGTGAAACAAGCTGCTCAATCAGATTGAAATGCAACAGAATAGATTTCAAAAATTAACATAAAACTTGAGGTAAGAAACTGGAAATTAAAATGAAAAGCTTGAGATTGATAGTTGTACAAATTCTCTTTCTCTGGGGAATCTTCAAAAAAAATGCTTAAGACTTGAACTGTTAATGTTTAAAGAAATGATCCTTTGCGCTTCTTGATTCAAACTAAAGTTTTTATTCAGGTTTTTGCTCCCAGAGCTCCTTTAACTACTCAGGCACCGCTCTGCAGCAGGTGAATCTAAGTTCAAGAACATTTTAACTGGATGTGTCAAGTTTATTCTAAAAACTTAGTGTGACTATAGGTCCTCCATTTCTGCAGTTTTTAGATATAAATGACTTTAAATGGAAATAGAAAGAAGAAGGTTCCTACTGTTCAGTAGGAAAAGAGCTGGACTTTTGGTCTTTTCAGGCCACCAAGCTCATTTTTGTTGGAAAAATGATTTCATATCAAGTGGACGTACAGCAAAGAGGTGGGAGGAGAATGAATGGAAGTTGTGTGACACTGTATTTTTATTTTCCTGACTTCTTGAAAAAGCATCAGAAATGGTCGACCTGTTCTGAAGGACTAAAAATGTGTTTGCTTGTTGTCATGCAGACACTTTTTACACGTGCACTCCTCAAGTCTGAGGAACAGCATGTCGGCTCGAAAACGTCACTTGTTAATAAATCCTTCAAACGGGAGCTTCATGGTGTGCTGATTTTGTTTAGCTTTTCCTATTCGTGCTTTTTGGACCCAGCACCCACTGAGGGATGTTCGTGTTTTCTTTTTTTTTCCCCAGACGTGCACTCCTGAAATTTCAGGACAGCCTGCCCGTGAAATCTTCCTGAGTTGCTGTATCAAACAGTTATTCCTGAATAGTTCCTGCTGCAGTCACACATCAGCTCACCCTGACTTTTTGAGGATATTTTGACTATAGGGGGGCTCGCTGTAAAAATGTCCAGGGTAAGGCGGTGTGAGAATTTGCGGCCGTCTTTTTGTGAACACATGCAACTCACCCTGAAAAAATCAGGACATTTTCATGAGTTTTGTGAATGTGAGAAAACGCTAAAAGCATGAATTTTTACTTTTTTTACAAAATCTTCCTCAGCATCCTTCAGACAAGTTAACTGCAATGACACATAAGAAAACGTCTGTTCATTTTAGAGTGCTGCAGTAAACCAGATGGCACCCAACATGTGACTGGCAGGATATACTGACACTGCCACTCACAGGAGACGACATGCATGTGTTCTGCAGCTAGCTAAAACACAGGTAGATGCTTTCCAATACAGCAGCTCTGATACTGTGCAAAGTCAAGCCTGGCCAAGCTAACATGAACACGAGTCAAATCCAAGTAGTGATAAATGTAAATGAAATTAAAATGTTCACTGGTTGTGGATGACTAATGTTAATGAACACAAATAATCCCACGGTCAAACCCATGGGAGTAATACAAGATGAAAATGTTCTTCACTTTCATTCTGAAGTTTATATTTAGAGGTCCTCTAAGTATGTTCCACTTCAACATATAGTTACAATGATCTGGAACTCAGATATCTAGGCAGCTACTAAAAATAGTTCCAGGAACTCAAAGCAGTACCAAAGTGTTCTCTGAAGCTTGCTTATGACAGACCTCAATGTACACACTCAAAGCCAGATTGGGTTGTATGTGACGCTGCAGAAGAGCACCAGTAATGTGATATAAGGACCAGTATGTTGCTTAGTCATGTTTAGCCTGCGTCTCTCCCTCATGTTCTCTGATGCCACACGGCTCGTCCTGCTATAGCCCTGATGTGTATATTCCCCCTTGGCAGCAGCATTGATACCTTTGCATTAAGTGGTCAAATCATATTCTGCAGACGCTCTGCTCCACTGGGCTCCTTCCTCCCGTTGACTCACTGACGGCCGTTATGTAATTACTGCATCGAGGCCAAAAAACAAAAAAAAAACACCCGGACAAAACGCGTTCACAGACGTGTTATTTCTCCTGTTCTTTCCCACTTGTGTCCGTTTCCCTGACCGTGTGCGTGGAATCACTAAACAGTGTGTGTCTCTCTCTCTCTCTCTCTCTCTATCTCTCTCTCCACATCCTCCGTCTCTCTCTCTCTCTCTCTCTCTCTTCTCCTCATCCTCCGTCTCTCTCTCTCTCTCTCTCCTCATCCTCCGTCTCTCTCTCTCTCTTTCTCTCTCTCCTCATCCTCCGTCTCTCTCTCTCTCTTCTCTCTCTCTCTCTCTCTCTCTCTCATCCTCCGTCTCTCTCTCTCTCTCTCTCTCTCTCTCTCTCTCTCTCTCTCATCCTCCGTGTCTCTCTGTCTCTGTCTTGTTAATACTCTGCCTCCGCCGGTTGTGACACCACAGGGGAAGTACTTGATGCATACGGATTGGCTTTGACACATTGCGGATCTCTCCATGGTGCTGAAAAGGGGAGCGGAGGGGGGGAGGAGGAGGAGGAGGAGGAGGAGGAAGAGGAGGAAGAGCTCCCTTCAGGAGCGGCGTTGCAGCAAGTACACCGGCAAACCGGACTGACACCGATTTCAAAACCTCTCTACTTGTTTTGTGGAGAATCTTATCTCCCACTGCACCGCATCACGAGGCAAACTTACCATGTTGACTTCAGACACCATGTCAATGCTGGCGATGTCTATGCTCATGCCAACATCCACAGGGGGGCCTATGGAAAATATGACAGCGGAGTGCTAGTGAGCATCACAGCACATGTTAATTACATGAACACAGCAGGCTTAAAGAAAAAAAAAAGGGGGGGGGGTTACCTCCAAAATCAGGCCTCAGACGGATGTCATAGCCATCCAGCACCTTGTCCACGGTGGCTTTCACATATGACATGTTGTTGGGCTCGTTGGCACTGGGGAGGGAAACACATTAATGTTGAGAGAAGAAGAATTCACACTTTGAATCATGCATGAAACGAGACATGACACATGTAATTCTCACCTCTGAGCCCCGCACACCACAGTCGCCAGCAGGGACAAGCAGTAGACCCCCCAGCTCCCGTGGTCCAGAGTCCTCCACATCACTAACTCCTGATCCTGCCAGCGACTTTGACACACAAGATCTCAGGGATGCAACTTAGGCTGCAAAATTATTCCAAGAGCAACGCATGCGCGTCGTTTTACCAACATCCAAGCGTCAGCCGCGAGGTGAGCAAAGACGAATCTGGATGCAAATGAAGCCGCGGTGAGTGGGGGGGGGGGAGAAGAAACCCCAGCCAAAGGTGTGGAGGCTTCACCTGAGGAGTGAAGGTTTGCGCATGAAACGTCACCCAGCACTTCACATGTCAATACACAGACCCCCCACCCACCCCCCGCTCCGGCAGCTTTATTCCAGCAGTCACAAAAAGGGTCCGGAGCAGATCTGCGTCAGGGCCGTCTCTCCACCGCTGAATGTGAGGACGGTAAATAATGAGCGCAGATTGTAGCAACCCGGTCACCTTTACAAAGCTAGAAGAGAGAAGGCAAGAGAGAGAGATGGAGAGAGAGAGAGGCAGCGAGAAAGACAGAGAGAGAGGCAGAGAGAGAGAGAGAGAGAGAGAGAGAGAGAGAGGGAGAGCGTCATGCAACACAAGCACGTCTGAAGAGCTGCGCATTTTTCGGGGCAGCGCATCCCATTCTGCTCGCGTCACGGGCTGCACCAACTTAATTAATTGTTTAAAATCCCAGAAAAATGCATTAAAAACTGCAACGCACGACTAAGTGATGAGAGAGGAGATAGGACACGCTGGGTGAGAGCTGAAATGGATTCTGCCTTCACTGCAGGACGTGAAGAGAATGAAGAAGAAGTGTTCTGCATTTAACCCGTCAGAGATTTTCAGCCGAAGTAGGAAGTAATCACCAGATTTGTCGTTTCCGAATAGCTAAATTAGGAACGTCTACAAACACCCTTAAGCTGCCCCTGGAAACATTTATTGGTCAGCGTGGGAACCTCTGGACCAATGCAGCCTCACAAGATTTCATGACACCCTCAAAAACAGTCCCTGAACCCTGACCATCAGACTCAGGGCTTTCGCCTGGAGAAACTCCTCAGAACTACCCAGTAACTATTTCCAGCTGGTTTCCCATCAAACTTACAAAATAAAAGAGCCATCATGAGTGCGTTGACATATTTACTGCCTCTTCATTTCTGCAGCTTTCACCACATGAGCGTTACATTTCAGCCACATGATAACAGGAGGTCGTTCATGGAGGAAATTATCCAAAAATGAATGTCCTCATTGTTTTTTTTTACTCCGATAAACCTTTGACTATGGTTCATGACCTCTGCCTGCGTACGGGAACATGGAAGTTGAAGGTTAAAACAACAGGAAATGGCTGTTTGACAGCAAGGTGAAGCAGCAGAATGATTCAAAAATGATGCACAAGTTCAACTTACATTTATTTTTAAAAACTGTTTCCAAGTGGCTGAGATACGCTTCACTGTTTCCCCTGCTGCGGTGCTTCAAACACGTATCTTCTGTTTTAGCACCCGTATGCTTCTCTAAAGAGGGCCCGCTGTTTATGAAACAGACTGAAATGAACAACTAGCTTCTGTATGAGCTATCAAAGTAAACAATTGAAACCGTGTTACAGTATTGCGCAAAAGTCTCAGGCCACCACTAGCTTTGTCAGTTGCGTAAAGTTTTAATGAACTTATTCATTACTCACACTCTTCATAAGATACAACCAGAAAATGCAGATAGGTATTACACATTACAAAGATCAGGAGCTTCTACAGGCACAAGCCCAAAGGGGCGTTTGACATCACGGTACTGCTCACTGAACGGACATGTTTAATATGTGATTCATTAATGTTTAAATGTTGCATGTTCAGTAGAGTCTGGTTGGGCCTTGGCAGAAATCAATCGGGGGACTAATCCCTCCCCGATTCATTTGTCTTTGTTGACTTTCATTGACAAACTTTTGGTTTTCACAGCAATAATGCATGCAACGCTTAGCAGGGCAACAAGAGTGCGTGCTGTCAGATGGGGCCCCCCTTTAGGGAGGTTTCCGACCATGCACCTCTGCCCGTGTTATACCTTTAATGCTTTTTGAGGCATCCCAAATGAAATGAGCTGAATGTCTGTAAATCATAGTGTACATTATGGTCACAAACAATGTGATCAGTTAGCTTATTGTAATCCGTTTTCTACAATCCCTGCATCTCCGAGGAGAGAGAGCATTGTTCAGAAGTAAATATGTGTCGACTTGATTACTTCTTGGGTTATTTGCATACGTATGATATGAACAGAGCCTTTTGAATAAACATCTCATCAGCTCTGCACACACAGGGGGTTTGTAGGAATGTCATTAAAGTTGTGTGCACTTTGAATAGTGATTGTAGTCATACATATTTAATGTGTCTTTTCATTGTGTGTGAATACAGGTATTCATATTCCCCTTGGGCACTGTTCTTCTTCGGCTCACTGTATTTGATCCAGCAGTAACATGCTTCACACATCCTGCAAATTATCTGACTATTTTCTATCCAGTGGAAGGGGTATTACCTTGTCAGGCATCAGTCACTGAGTTTGTGTGAGACAGTGGTGTTTGTAACAAACATGGTGGCTTACACTGATGGATGGTTTACTCTTTTTATCTGCAGCTCTCTCACCCGCTTCTTGGATGTTTTTCTGAGGCTTTTCGTTTTTAAAAAGAAGACTCCGCCTCGTGTTTGGCTGCAGCAGCAAAAATCAGAGATGGACATCGGTTCATTATCCCCTTTGATGACTAAATCATCAAAGTGATGAGCAAATTCGACTGGTACTGATAAATTATTGGTGCGCTCGCTTTGATTCAGGATAGAGCTCAACTGAACCCAATTCTTTCATTTGAATGAACTGTTTTGAACATTTACATTTTCAGAAGTTCATCACCAAAAAGAGCAGATGTTATACAAACGATCACTGATTCTGTCCTTCAGAGTATTGTATGAAATCCAAATGAGGGACATGATATTATTGGAAGATAGGCACGAAAGTTACTAAACATTATGTCCATGAATAGTCATGACAGGCCTTACTAATCACTAAAAGGGTTGACTCATGGTAAATCATCATTATTGTGATAATTATTGGATTTTTATACTTGGTGGAGGACTTTTCGCGGCCCGCCTGCAGTACCCACAATGGCCACCAGGGGGCTGCGGCCCACACTTTGGGAAGCACTGACCTACACTTTTGACATTAGTTGCAAAACAGCCACCAGACTTGGAAAATCCACCTTTAGCTTTTAGCTCCAAACATTCTGCATTATTTACAACACTCAAATTCGACACTCTTGGATATATTAAAGGGAAGACCTCTGGGCGGTGGTAGCCAGTAGTAATGATGAGTGCCTCTGTCCAATAAAAAGAAAAAATGGCCCAAAATGTTTTTAAAAAAAGGAAGATCTCACACCACTTTACAGCAGTGATGAATTGTTTTCCATGAGTGTGGTTTGTTCTGCTTTTTTTTTTATATCTCGACATCATCATAGAAGAGGAAAACCTTGATGATTCTCGCACTTAAAAGCTCCTGAGAGGAGCTTTTCTCTGGTAATTAAACAGACTGAAATGAATGCTGATGCCTCCAAATGACCTCCAAAATCAAACGAGACTATCAGCGACAACACTGATCTATAAAGTCATTTAAAATGCCTGAAACCACTGCCGCAGGGCAGGTGTGTGACGAAGTGACTAACTGCATGCAGCCATTTTTTTGAACATTTTCCACCACAAAGGACCACTCTGGATAGGTTACTCATTTGACTGGAATAAAAAAACAGTATCATCGTTTTTTGGTCAGAAAGTGCTTGTTGGGGGGCGGTAGATGGTCTTTGGATAAGGTCAGGCCACATGTAGGGAGGCTGTTGTCCTCCAAGCAGGCGGCCCAGATTTGAATCCGAGTGACAAACACAGAAAATACATTTTGTGAGCACATCACCTTGTAGCTCACATTGGTTGCTACTTTTTAACTTTTATGGATGTTTTTAATGAGCTGTCAGTGTTTTTGTCTGAGTCTGACATAACTAGTGTGTACCAGACAGTTTCTGACAACAACAAGGCTTGGCGTGCATTTTTGGTGCTTCATTTGGTGGGCGGGGCTTTGCAGACTGACATGTGCTAGCAGAGAGGCAGAAGGGGAGAACATTTGAATGTTTATGTTGCTTTCTGCCACTTCGATCGGAACAACTTTTGCTCTCTTCATGACCATTTCATGTTTTTCTGCGAGATCACACTAAGGCGGCAGATATATGGCTGACCTTTATCAAACTGGTGAACCATTCATGTTCAGGCATTTCACCCATGAACACTTCAGAGGGAGAGAACATCACAGCATGAGGTTCTGTGAGATGGGAAAAAAATCCCAAACAGATGTCCTAATAGACCGATTTGGGATCTGAGAGGGGCAGCGCTGTGTGAACATAACTGTCAGCACCAATCAGAAGAGGGAGCAGATGAGACTGTGATGTAATTAACCAGCTCTGACAGCTCGGCTCTCTTAAAGCCCAAACTGAAGTTATGTGTCATTTTCTGTTTTTCCATTTCTGTCATGTTTAAGATGTTACAGACGATTCTCCAGATCCTCGAACACAACCTCAGGGTTAAGTTTGAACATATGTTTGGTTTGACATGTCACAAAAAAACACCCAGGACTCTAACCCACCCCCCCCCCCCCTTCGCTGTCTGACTGTAGTCTGTGCTCTGCTGCCATCTGGTGGTACTGAGACGTACACACAGTTTTTATCACAATGAGTTCTATAGCTGCTCTTTGTGAAATGTGTCAATAGTTACATTTTATTGTGATTTGGAGCTATAAAAGTCATATTGAGTGATTTATTATTTAGAAAATGTATTGAGTATTTCCACTTCAGTAATATTCATTTACTACTATACTTTTTTCCTCCTCTCTATAAATCAGTAGATGTAAAGCTCAGAGAGACAGATAGACACACAGCGAGAGATTGTGATGTCTCTTCTGACAGCTCTCCCTCTTTTCAGTGTGTTGCCGGTCTCCGTGGCAACTGCTCTGATGACATCAGGCAAAAACACAGAGTACTCCATAAACAGCAGTGTGTGTGAGTGTGCGTGACCAGGAATACACAAGTTCAATTAGAGGAAAGAGAAGACAGACAGACAGACAGACACACACACACACGTCAAATTAATTAAGTCACTGATATTAAGATAGGAGAATGTTTTTCTGTTTTTTTTTAAATGAAATCATTATAGCTTTAATCAGTGACCTTCTCTTCTTCTGTGGTTAATAAGAAGCTTGAATGACGACAGATCCACATCACATGATAGAGATACTGAGCTTAATTAGATGTTTAATTGTGACCTTTGTTTATATTAGGGAGAGAGGAGCCATAAATAAACAATCACTTTCCCTTTTTTATTCAGAGATGTCTTTGCCTACATGATAATGTTGATAATATACATTAATATGTTCAAAAGAGAAAACACAAGTGGAGATATTAAACCAAAAGTGGACATGACGAGAAGTGTGATATAATTAATGACAGATGTTTAGAGCAGGATTCCTTTAAAAGTTGAAGGTCATAACTCGATATAAAGAGTCTTATTTTTTATTGTGAGACGTTTTAGATTTTGAAACATGTATGATTACTTTATCAAATCGACTCTTTCTACCTGGATTCTTTGAGTTTTTATTGTTCTTTTTTCTAAGATCTGCTTATTCACAGCTGTGTGGGGCGGCTGTGGCGCAGTTGGTAGAGTCAGTTGTCTCTGAGCCGGAAGGTCAGGGGTTCAATCCCCAGCTCCTACAGCCATAAGTCCATCATGTCGT